AGGCGAGTGTTTCACAGCAAACGAAGACCAGGAAGGAACTGCTGGTGCCATCTAAGAGACTGAATCCCCAGTGCTACATCAAAGCGCCAGGCTCCCTGTTTAATGAGATAATAAAAGGCTACAAAATGTGATGCAATTCGGCTGCAGCCTGGCAGAGCCCAACACTACCGTCCCCCTTAAAAGGGCGTTCTGTCCTCGTAGCGAGGAACGGGCCTGTTTGAAAGCACTGTTAAAGAGACAGGCAACCAATTCACGTTGTGAGGGCAGCAAAACCCTCATTCCCCACCTGACAAAGCATGCCGAGTCTCAGAACAACAACTGCAAAGTTCCAAATAAAACACCAGCAAGTATAATTTTTTCTGAATACAGGTTAATAGTGTGTTAAAAGTGGACCATGCCATGGTCAACTTGAATTTAACACAGAATATCTTAATGTCAGGCAATCAGTTACTGGGCATAACTTATACCTAAAGGGCAAAGGAGAGAAGAATGGGCATTAAGGCACACACAGCTCCTCTCCTGGTGGGAGTTCTGGCTGCCGAGAAGAGACGGCTGCTTCTCTACCATGTTAGACAGGCGACAGCCACCCCAGCCCCACAGCCAGCATCAAACAGGCAAGCATTGGTCCCAGGTAGACCTGGGGATGAGACAGTGCAGCCAGCACGCTGTCACAGTGCATGGGGTTCTCCCAAGAAAAGAAACAGGCTGTAACTGTCAGCAAGAAAGAGAGGCCATCTCCCTCTCCGCTGATCACAGAGTCCCAGGAAAAAGCCCAAGAGGATTTCACCTGCTAGAAAGGAAGAGGAATCCGTAGGGAATCTCGAGCAGCGCAGTGTCTGCCGCTGGCTAAGTGCAGGGGAGCATGTTGTATGCTTGACAGTTGCCGAGAGCAGATTTTCAACATTCCCATCACAAAAAGGAAGCAAGTGAGGGGACGGATGTGTTAGTTTCATTCGGTCATTCCACCACGTATGCATATATTAAAACACCACATGATGCACCATAAATATATACAGCTTTTTTATGTTATACCTTTAAAAAGATATAAAAGCAATTATAGTAAGGATACCTTGAGCTATTCCCTTCACAAATGCCCAGAGACCCGAGCTGGAGTGACCTGCTGGACTAAGAGATTGCTGAGGTCTTGTCACAGAGATAGCTGACTATTTCTTCTTGTTAAAAGTTTTTGCATGTTTATTTATTATTTTCATCTACTTGAAAGGCAGAGGAACAGAGATAGAGAGAGAGGCTGATCTGTGTCACTCGCAGATGCCCGCCACAGCCATGGCTGGGCCAGGCCGAGCCCGGGAGCACAGCACTCCGTTGGGGCCCTGGATGCGGGGGGCCCGGGCCCTTCACTCACCATCTGCTCCCTGCCAGGTGCAGCAGCAGAACGCTGGATTGGACGCGGAGCAGCTGGGGCTCGGCCGCTCTTCTGATATGGGATGGGGGTGTCCTAAGCTGAGGCGTAACCCACTGAGCCACAGTGCCCAGCCGCCTTACACAGCTACCCAGGCTTTCCTAACCGATCACACGGCCATGGAATTCCCCTCGACTTCACTCTACAGGAAGGATACTGTGATACCAACCCACAAGAAATCTTAACTGAACTTCTTAAAGGTGATGGCAATATCATTTTACAGCAAAATAAATAAATAAAAGCTAATAATAAAAATGACATGCCAGTTATTACCAGGCAGAAACTATCACAGAAAAGGATTCTAGGGGCCAGCACTGTGGCGTAGCAGACTAAGCCTCTGCCTGTGACGCTGGCATCCCTCATGGGCACCGGTTCAAGTCCTGGCTACTCCACTTCTGATCCAGCTCCCTGCTAACAGCCTGGAAAAGCAACGGAAGATGGCCCAAGTGCTTGGGCCCCTGCACCTGTGTGGGAGACCAGGAAGAAGCTCCTGGTTCCTGGCTTCAGATGGGCACAGCTCCAGCCGTTGCAGCCAACTGGGGAGTGAACCAGTGGACACATCACACATCACACATCCCTTGTCCTGGCACGTCTGAGTGACTGTCACTTCTTGACCAATTACAGCTTTACTCTCGCTGAGGTCTGCCCTCCCAGACAGGTAAGACTGCTTCAGATACACAATGATGGCACTGTCCCCACCTTCTGGCAGCACGACATCTATAGCAACTCCCTGCCTCCTTTCTCAAATCACCCAACCAAGGCCCAGATCTGCTACATAACAGGTCCTTCCTAACACCTGCTTCGACAGACGCCCCATGGTTCCCATGGCAACACACACACCCTGTTAAACTGCAGCTGTGTTCCTGGGGGTCAGAGATGCTGGTGCACAGAATTCCAGGTGAGACATTTGGTGCCTTGAACCAAAATCCTCGACTCTGAGAGCCCCTTGTGTCTCCACCACCCACCTGTGGCTGGGGACGTTCTTCAGGCTGAACTGAGGTCCCTGAGGGAGGCTTTTGGCTCCACACTTAGCTTTGTCTTCCTAGGAGTGGGCTCCATGGTGGGCTTTTGGTTCTCTGGTGAGAACTCTGTTTAAGGAAACCTTTCGCTGACAGCTGATGCCTGCTTGCCCGAGGCTGTTTCTTGAGCGCTGTCTGTGTACGGGAGAGGTCAGGGAGCGGCCCCAATTTAGAATTACAGTGATTATTTTGGGGGACTTTTGATATAAACACTTGAGAGGTTCCTTAGAACAAAAGGGATGGAGATGCTGGCTGTCCAGCGGTGTTTTCTTTCATTGGTGTCATGAGTTTCTATGCCCAATTCCCACTCAAATGCCTCCCTTAATGATTCTTTAGACAGAGCTAATGCAAAACATGAGGGACTTAAACAACTGTCTCCCACGTGGAGCCACCTGAAACAGGCTCCAGTTCTCCCCACCCTTCCCCATCTCCTACACCTTCTCCTTAGGACTCGGTCCAAGCTCACCAAGTCCCTACAGCTGCCCCTCTTCCTCCCCATTCCGCCGCTCCTGTTTCTAAGCCATGTGAATTACCTCACTGTCACGTTACAAAGCCGCCCCTAGGAAAGGGCATCCCAGGCCTGACTGCTGCTTGGGTCTCAAGCTCTGGGACCCTGCACTTGTCCTGGACACATCTAGCCCAAGCCTCTCTGACCTCTACCAACTAAAATGCCTGTTGGACAGTAGGAATTGTAAAATCATGCTTAGGAAAGAGTAATTGGAAACACCCAGAACACCACCTGGGAGCCAGCGCTGTGGCATAGTGGGTTGAGCTGATGCCAGAATCCTGGTTCCTTTCAGATTTTATTTATTTATTTGAGAGGCAGAAGGAGAGACAGAGAGAAACGTCTTCCATCTGCTGGTTCACACCCACCCCAAATGGCTGCAACGGTCCAAGCTAAGCTGATCTGAAGCCTGAAGCCAGCAGCCAGGAGCCAGAAGCTTCTTCTGGGTCTCCCACGCAGGTATAGGGGCCCGATCACTTGGACCATCTTCTGCTGCTTTCCCAGGCTGTAGCAGAGAGCTGGATCAGAAGCGGAGCAGCTGGTACATCAACTGACGTCCAAACAGGATGCCGGCACTGCAGGCAGAGGCTTAGTCCACTATGCCACAGCGCCAGCCCCTGAGTGCCGGTTCTTTGGCTGCTACACTTCCGACAGTTTTCTGCTAATGCGCCTCAGAAAGCAGCAGAAGATGGACCAAGTACTTGGGCCGCTCTCATGCATAGGGGAGACCCGGATGGAGTTCCAGGCTCCTGGCTTTGGCCTGGCCCAGTCCCAGGTGATGTGGCCATTTGGGGAGTGAACTAGTAGACAGACGATCTCTCTCTTACTCTCTGTATCTCTCCCTCTCTCTCTATAAATCTGCATTTCAAATCAACGAATCACTTTTGTTAAAGAACGTGACTTAAGACAGAATGAACACACTTTGGTCCCTGAGATACATATCTTCAAGTGACAGCACACGCCTCCCCTGCGGCAGCGGGCTGGACCCTGCCTCGCGGTGTGGGCGGCCGCTGTCTCACAGCAGCCCAGCAGCACGCTTCTGCCCAGACTCACAAACACCCGACGGGGGCCTGGGCTCCTCACGCTCCTTCTTTGGTCTCACTGTGTTTTCTAAGTTCAAAGGTTTGCAGCCACGGCAAGTGAGCAGGTCTCCTCCTCCTCAAGGGCTGAGCAGCACTTCCCTTCTGAGGGGCACGTGCTGACGTCATCAACCCCGGCGGGAGACGGGGAGGTGGGCGGTCTCACCTTAGCCCCGGACAGAAGGGAACCGATGCTTCCTCCTCCCCTAAGGCTCTCCAGAGCAGTGCCGAGGGACTTCCAACTTCCTGCCATTCCTTCCATCGACAAGGGGCGCTGTTCCAGCTCGGAGGAAAGAAGCGAGGCTGGGGGCACGGGCGCTCCGTCAACCACAGCTGCTCCCCGTCTCCTGCAGCCCTGCGGCTGCTCACTCGTCTCCTCCTGTGACCCCCGATCTCCCCCGGCCAACATGTGCTTCCTCTCTGTGACACCACATCAGGACACGTAGGCAGGAGAGACCCGGAACCGCCACTATTTCTAGAACTATCTGAGGAGTCTCCCCCCACTCACGATCCGGCAGCAGCTTCACGACACAGCACTTTGCTACTTCCTGTACGTTGGACCCAACCCCAATTTCAGCACTTAGGTGAGGCCCTGGTTGCTCTCACGGTGCACAGAGTCCTAGGGGCTGGCCCGCAGGCTGGCAGTCCCGCCTCCTGTGGAGCTGAAAAGCAAGCATGTCGGCGAGAGGACTCACGGTATAAATTAGCTCCGTAATCAAATTTCAAGCGTCCTGCCTCCATCTGCAAAGTGGACCTGAACGAGAGCTTGCATCCGCAAAAACCCACAGAGTCGGACCCCGGGAGGCCAGTCACGAGAAGGAAGTCTGTGGTGACATCAGCAGTCACATCAGCCCGGGTGTGTGAGGTCTCGGAGTGCAGATGCCAAGTGAGGACATCGGAGTCCCTAGGAACGTTCACACCCAGGCCTGGGTACACCCTGGTAGGAGTGAGTGGTCACACGAGACCCCGCCACGTACCTGCCCAGAGCTCTGAGGCTATGTGCGGGGCCATCGGGGCGGCCATCACCACCAGGGCACCCAGGGCGTCCTCGAACTCAGGGCTGTGGTGCACGACGCTCTGCGAGGCTTGCTAGGGAAGACAAGAGAACAAGGTGGGTAGGCTCAGGGGTATGGCAGACACCTGCGTGAGAAAGGCCACTGGCACATCTGAGGTTCAGAGACGCGGAAGAACCCGCATTCCCCTCCATGCTTGCTGGGGCCAGGTGCTGACCCTGTTAAGTCAGAGCGTGAGCAACGGCAGCACTGCCCTTCTGAGTGACGGCCACGGCCTGGCCCTGCGCTGACATCTCCAGTGCTCAGGGGGCCTGTGGACCCCTTAACCACTCTGCTCTCGCCTTCCTGGGTGCTGCGGGCCCAGCAAAGAGCAGGGCATGAGTCTGGCCCTGGGTCTGTCACTGGTCAGCCGGGCCTGTCCTCCACCTCCTTGGGCCTTGCTGTCCGCATCTGGGAACACTGGGGAGGCTAGGATTGGACGGGCTATAAGGATCTTCCAGCACTAAAACCAGGCGTGGCTACGGAGAAAGTGCTTCCTGAAGTGAACAGGGCCTCACTGAGGACGGGGGACGCTGGGACCGCCCTCTGTCCCCAGGCTGGGACCCCGCAGGCCACCTCCCCGCAGCTCAGCCTCCCTCCCTTGCTACTGCGAGCAGGACCATGTGACTCACCATGAGGGCAGCGGTGAGCCCCATGAGCTGAGAAACCGCAGAATTCAGCGAGAGGTCCTCTGTGAAGTGGCCGGTCACCTACGGGTCAAAGTCGAATTATTCGCTTTAACATTTCTAGAAGCTTTCCACAAACAAAACTAGAATGACATGAAAGCAGCCAAAGGACTTATAAATGTATTCAGCATCTTGAATAATCACAGTTTCACTAGCAGAAAGATTGTTTAACTCAAAGTCAGCGCGGGGCTGGGCAGCGGTTCAGACCCTGCTGGGGAGGTCCATGTCCCCTGTTCAGTGGGCCTGGGTCTGAGTCCCTGCTCCGCCCTGAATTCCAGCCTCCTGCTAGTGCACACCCCGGGAGGCAGCAGTGACAGCTCACTCGTGTCCCTGACGACCACGTGGGAGCCTGGATGGAGCTCCTAGCTCCGGCTTTGGTCTGGCCCCGCCCTGGCTGTTGCTGGCATTTGAGGAGTGAACCAGTGTATTGGAAGATCTGCTGTCTTTGTCTCTCTTTCAAATAAGTGCAAAAATTAAAAGGTTCTTGTAAAAATGGGATTGTAAAAGATAAATTAAAAAATGAAAGCAATGTCAATGTTAATGCTGTATCCACTATTTTTTTTTAAGACTTATTTTATTTATTTGAAAGACAAAATTACACAGAGAGAAAGAGATCTTCCATCTGCTGGTTCATTCCCCAAATGGTCGCAATAGCTGGAGCTGGGCCAATCTGAAGCTAGGAGCTTCATCTGGGTCTCCCACGTGGGTGCAGGGACCCAAGGACTTGGGCCATCCTCTGCTGCTTTCCCAGGTGCATTAGCAGGGAGCTGGATCAGAAGTGGAGCAGCCAGGACTTGAACCGGCACCCATAGGGGATGCTGGCACTGCAGGGGCCACAGGGCCAGCCCCTGTGTCCACTGTTTACGAGTGTCCTTCTGGAACCATATCGAGTGTTGTGTTTCAGAAAACGGCACTAGTTACGTGACCAGGAGGCAAGCCGACGCCAAGGCAGGAGGCAACAGGAGGTGGGGTGCAGGGGTCACTCCTCCCCCACTGCGTGACTTGCATTCACGCTGCAGGTTGCTGGGAGGTCAGTCTCACATTGTGAAATGTAGGGTCGCTAAGATGACCTGCCAGCTTCCCTCTGTTGGTGTTTTTCATTTCTGACTGTGGGCAAGAACTGAGGAAACCGACACATCTTTAAGAAGTCAAGAGGTTCCAACTTGCTGGAATAAGCCGGTTCTATTATCTGACAGAACGGAAGAGTGAGCCAAACCCAGAGTCTGCGGCATGGGAGCAAGCCCTCAGGCACTGCTCCAGCCCCGGCGTCCAGCCTGGCGAGCTCGGTCCCGCCACACCCAGAGGGCACAGGCAACAGAAATAAAAGCTGATGCGGTTGTCACGTGGGACCATGCTGGCCCCAGGGCCACTTCAGGTCACACAAACCAGAGAGAAACGGCCTGCCACGCCACCAGGTGCAGGCCAGGCACTCAGAACCCACAGTCCAGGTAACCAGAGTCACCACAACTTAACAAAGGAAGACATCAGCAAAAAAGCTGGGGTCTTGGAGCCCCTTTAGAAAATGCCTTCAGTGGCGGACATGTGGCCACCCCATGTCCCACGTCAGAGGGCCTGGCTTCCATGCCCAGCCCCAGCTCCTGTCTGCAGCCTTCTGCTAGTGCACACCATGGGAGGCAGCCGTGATGGCTCATTTGTGTGCCTGCCAACCATGCGAGAGACTCGACAGAGTTCCTAGCTCCTGGCTTTGGTCTGGCCCAGCCCTGCAATAATGCACACAGATACTATATCAAGAAAGGGAGAGGGCTGAGCACCAGGGAGCGTGGATTTTGGTCTCTGCTCAGGCCCTCACTGGCTGTGTGGCTTTCACAGATAGTTCACCTCTCTGGGCCTCATCTCTGCCTCGATCTATAAAACGAGGGGGCTATGGAGGACAGTCTCAATGCCCCCTGTAACACTCAGCTCCCGCGAGCAGTGTGCCGTGCGTGAGCCTGGACTTGGTTAGGCTGGCGGGTGTTCGGCACGGAAACCTGGGATGCGGGCATCTGCGTGAGGTCAGGATGACAGACGGGTGACCTCCCTGCAGGGCGTCTCCCACGGGCACCTCTTCCTGCGGCTGTGTGTCCACTGCTGCTCCCCTCTGCGTCCACTGGGTAACACGCCCACAGCGACAGGGTCAGTCAGTCCCGGCAGGCGGGGCCATGCGATGGGGGAAGCAGAAGACTCAAAATGGCTACCCCGGGGACGTGGGCCTCGCAGACCCGCGGAGGCTCTGACCTGAGAGATGACGGCGTTCTTGTACTCCCACAGCCTCCGGGCCTCGGCTTTCTGCTCCTGACTCAGCAGCTGCGGCTGCGGCGCCTTCCCAGAAGTCCTGGCCTCGATGAAGCGGGTGGCCAAGGCCCACAGGCGCTGCTGCCATCTCAGCACCCCGGGGAGGGCGTCGGCTGAGCAGTGAGAGGAAGAGAAAGGGCGCACGTGAGAACCAGTGCTCTGCACACACCGCAGGCGAGCCGAGCGCCTGGGAACGGATGAGGCAGGAGCTGTGCCCCGGGGTCTGAGCAGGGTCAGGAAGGCTCCCCCCGCCCCTTGGCTGCTCGTGACTCCACCACTGCACTGCCCACGGGGCCGGCACTGTGGTGTGGCCGATTAAGCCACTCCCAGGTACACCCATATCCCGTATCCAAGTGCCAGGGATGGAGTCCCACCCCCGCTTCTGCTCCAGCTCCCTGTTCTTGCACCTGGGAGGCATCAGATGATGGCCCACGGACGTAAGCCCCTGCCACCTTTGTGGGAGACAAGGATGGAGCTCCTGGCTCCTGGCTTTGGAGCCTTGGCCACTGAGCCATTCAAGGAATGAACCAATGGATGGAAGGTCTCTGTCTCTCGCACTTTTTCTCTTCCTTTCAAATAAATACATGAATGAGTGTCACCCACTGACTGTCTGGGGCCTGCAGCGAGACTGGTGGCCGCATGGAGACGTGCACCAGTGTACCAGCGCCCCGATGCAGGGAGCTGGCTACGGCAGCACTGCGGCAGAGGTGTGGTGCACTACGTGGGGGCAGTTCCTGAGCTCACGTGGGCACGTGCCCTAAGACCACCCTGTCCCGGTCAGCTACGTGTGCCCTCTGTCTCCAACACGTCCGCCAAATCCAGCTGTTACTCTGAGCTGCAGAAGCTAAACGGCTTCACCCTGGTTCCCCGGAGGCTCTGGCCACCGGGGTGGGCGTTCTTGAGCCTGGATGCACAGCAGAACCTTTTGGGGCACTCTTCCCACAAGTCCCAGGAAACCAGGCACTGGGTTTCTCCTTCCCACGGCAGCACGCGGGGAAGCTCCCATGGTTGGCGGGGGGATGCATGGTGGCTGGACAGTGCATTGTAGGACAGCCAGCTCCCCGAGCTCATCTCTCTTCTCATCACTGGCGATCCGGACAACTTCAGAGGGACGTATGTGGGGTTGGCGGGGTGGCTGAGGGGCCGCAGGGATGCTGGGCCAGGCCCACGTAGGGTGGGCCAGCGCAGTGGGGGAGGATAGCCCTGGTCTAGAGCATCCCTCTCAGAGCGGCCCTACAGGAGACTGGCCCAGGGAGTGGCACGGAAGCGTCTGTCTCCCGGGAAAGGGTCCGCACCCCGTCAGTCCAGAGCCTGTCCAGGCAGATTCCCGGGCCGCTGCCTGGAGGCCGTGCCGGCAGCTCGTGGTGGGCACTGGGAACCTGCATTTGCAGCGAGTCCCTGGATGCCCCGAGGCCCCCGTGCACCGGCAGGGAGACAGCGATGGGACCCTCTCCCTTTCCTTCCCCAGCTCGCTCGGGGCTCAGGGCAGGTCCCTGGGGAAGCAGGCCAGGAAGCCGTGACTCACTCTTCACGTCCCATAAGATGTCCTTCTCCGGAGGGGCGGCGAACAGGAGGTAGAGCCGGATGGTGTCGAGGCCGTACTGCTGCACCACCTCCTCAGGGTCCACGCCATTGTGTCTCGACTTGCTCATCTTCTCCCACGTCACCTCCACCTGTGCTCTGGTCCTCGCATGCACAGGCACAGAACCTGGATGCCAGCGCAACACACAGGGCTGGTGTGGGCGACTGGGAACCACTTGTGCAGGCCCACGGGCGAGAAGGCCGGGCTGGGTGGACACCCGCAGGAGCCCACTTGGAGGGTGGCACCCGCTCACCTCCCACACTGCTCCCCTCCCCCAAGCTACAGAATCCTTTTGATTTTCACATCAATGGGGCCACCTCCTTCCTTTCATGAATATGTGGAACCGTTAAAATGGCATGTGTCACCATTTCCTACAAAATAAATCCCTCCTTGGGACAGGCGCTGTGGCACAGCAGGTAAAGCCACCGCCTGCAGTGCCAGCATCCCATATAGGCACTGGTTGGAGTCCCGGTTGCTCTACTTCCGATCCAGCTCTCTGCTGTGGCCTGGGAAAGCAGTGGAAGATGGCCCAAGTCCTTGGGCCCCTGCACCCACGTGGGAGACCCGGAATAAACTCGTGGCTTCGGATTGTAGCCATTTGGGGAGTGAAACAGCAGATGGAAGACTTCTGTCTCTTTCTCTCTCTGCCTCTGCCTCTCAGTAACTCTGCCTTTCAAATAAATAAATAAATAAATCTTTGTAAAAAAGACAGTGAGAAAGTGTGCTGCTGTTTTCCTGGTGGATTTGGGGTGCCCTAGGGCAGGGGTGGCTGACGGGTCAGTGTCTCCAGGCCACAGAGCCTGAGTGGCCACTACCCTCACACCCTGCTCCCCCACTGCTGACCGTGGACTGCCAGGGCTCATGCTAAATGAGGCGGTCTCTTGGTGGTGCCGGCTATGCAGGCCCACCCACAGCCTGCTGGTCTAGAGGGTGTTGCTGGGAGGCCTTCACTGGCCACGTCTGGACGAAGACAGCTTGTTGCAGGCCGGTGGAAGGGGCGGGCAGGATGCCGGCTACCGAGGCTGGGCCTCCTTCTCAGGAAGGGGACTGGAGAGACACAGCAGGGCCACCAGCTCGTGAGGATCGGGTGAGGCCTGCCACTGGGCTACCCCAGGTCACCCTGCAGACTGAAAGCCGGGGCGTGCAGAATCCAAGTCTCGCAGAAGAGGGAGGAACAGAGGTGTGGGGGAGAGAGAGAGAGGAGAGAGGAGTGGCCGGAGACTGCCATGGGCCCTGGGCCTGGCTGTCTTTCCCACGACTGCATTTGGTGATGCCCCTCTGACCCGTGTGTCAAACCCACCTTTGGGTAGACTCCTGTTCCTTCCAACCAAATAATTCCTGGCTCCAGGAGAAACCAAACTCCCAGGGGACCAAGGCAGCCCCCTTAAGGCCAACTGCCTGGCCCAGGGGAGGTGCACCCTCCAGCAGACGGAGGCCTGCCCTGTGGGTCTGAGCAATGGGCAAATCCGCATGGCAAGGCAGAAGACGTTCAGAGCAGTGGCTGGCTCGTGGCATCAGAGCAGAGGGAGACAGCAGTCCTGGGCCACCTGTACCCCAGCCTGGGGAGACTCTGGGACCCCTGCCCTGCACCCCGACTCACTGGGAAGGTCTGGCCTTTTGTGCACTGTTGTGCACACTGGGGAAAAATTGACTTTCTGGACGGAGCTGAGAAGTTAGAAAAATGTACTCTTTTGTGGCAAGTGTGGCCTGCAAATGGAGGCTTTGATAGACAGCTGGATTTCAGGCCCTGCTCCTCTCCTTGCCTGGGCGCCTTTGGGCAGTGCCCAAACTGGACAGCTATCCACAGGCAGCCCCGCCCTGCAACGCACGCAGCCCTGCAGTGAGCTCCGTCCCTCTCTGGGCTGTGCTACGGAAGCACCACTCGTTTCTGCTTCTCCGCTTCGTTTTTCTCGTGGGCCACGCTGAGGCCATTCTCACCCCCACATGCGACCGCCTCAACAGGTAACCCCGTCCACGGCTTCCAGCAAACCGGCTCTCCAGTGCTGGGCGTGGGAGGGGCTGCTGGGTGCACAGTTTCTCCCTGAATGCAATGGCCGGGGCTGCGCCCATGTCGGGCCCTTCCCATGTTCTCACAGGTCTGCTACGTCATTTGTGGGTCTGCGTGCGGGGTGCACGTGACACGTCCTCATCGCGCCCTGCAGATAGCTGGCGGGGAGGGACCATCTCCGCGGAACAGGCTGGGAGAGCTGGGGACAGAGGGGCGCCCAGGGCAAGCAGGGAGAGGCTCTGTGCGAGGAGGTGCGTGGTGGGCGGTGGGAGGCGGGAGGGTGGTGGCCCTGAGTGTGTGGGCAAACCCTGGGAGCAGCCCAGTCTCCCAAGAACGTCTTTGGAGTCCCAGGGTTCTGTTCTTGAGGCACGGGCTGGGTTGGGGAGGAGCCCCATGGATGCGGTGCCACACCCCAGTGAGAACCCTGTGTGGGGTCCCGGGCAGGGGAGCAGCCAGCCAGTTGCAGGAGCAGCCCGCAGCTGGCACAGGCCCAGAGCATGTGCAGGCCCCCGGGGCCCTCTCCCAGGCTCCCCACCCAGCCAGGGCCTAGTGCCCTGCGTGTTAACAGCTCTGCGGCCTGGCTGGAGTCTCTGTGAGACAGGGACCAGACGGGAGGGACTGTTCGTACCTGTGAGATCGACTTCCTCCCTCTGCAGGTACTGTCCAGACGGCAGGCGGAACGTCTGGCCCTTGATAAGGCCTTGGGCCAGCAGCTTTCGGAATGGCTCTCTGGGGGAAAGAAAGCAGAGAAAGGAAGCTGACGGGCGGGGGCACAGTGCTTCCAGCGCAATACACGAACCTTACCCCGAGGGGCTCAGGCAAACAGGAGCTGCCCCAGGCCACCTGAACAAACAGCTCCTTACAAACCAGCAACACAAACACTAAGCCACATCAGCAGCTGTGACCTGCAGACCTACTTCCCACAGTGGCGAGGTGAGCGCAAGTTTACCTGAAGAGCGGAGTCTTCCGCCCACGGTCTCACAGGCAGCCGCCTCCCGCACGAGCAGCAGGACGGGACCCTCTCCCTGCGCCCACAGCCCCTGGGAGTATGTGCACAGTCTCAGGCACCGTGTCTCTCCCTGCACAAGGCTTTCGGCTTTTCTCCCTCCTCCCTCACGGTGAGAACATGGCTTGGGTCACTTAAACTTTTTTTTTTTTCCTTTTATTTACTTGACAGGCAGAGAGAGAGAGAGAGGGAAGGAGGGAGAGATGTATCTCCCCTAAATGCCTGCAACAGCTGGGGCTGCACCAGGCTGTAGGTGGGAGCCAGGAGCTCAGCCTGGGTCTCCCACATGGGTGTCAGGGACACAATTCTTGAGCCACCACCTGCTCCTCCCAGGATGTGTGTTCGCAGGAGCAGAGCTGAGACTCACATCAGGCACTCTGATATGGGATGCCTGCCCCAGTCACGCATAAGAGACATTTTTAAAGAGAATGGCTTTGGGACAGAAGGTAGGAGGGAATAATCTAGATGAGTTGGATGATTAAAGTCAGCAGCATTCATTCTCAAGAAGGGGCTGGCGAAGAAACAAAAGGAACTGCGTGCTTGCATTTTCTCAAGTGGCGCAACAGCACCACCCACTGGGAGCAGACAGAATTGCAACCACCACGAATGCAGTCCAGCTGTTCTGCCTAAAGTTGCACTGCTCTGGCTTCATCTTTTAAAGAGAACTGCTGGATGCAGAGTCGCAGAATGCAGACATGAATGAGAGGTGTAGATCCAGCACCCAGACCAATCAGAAGGTGACCAACCTGGGGAAGTCTCCTCCTGTCCACTGCGAGACATGGGCACCTTGTAGCCTGAGTGCTTGCCCCCGTCTCAAAGCCCTACTTGGAAGCACTTCCACATGAGGTCTCAAGGGCAGTCTGCATAGGACGCTGCCCCCAGAAGGGCAGGGACCCTCTCCCCAAACAGCAGTGTGCCTAAACCAAGGCCTGCTGCTGAGGGTCTTCCTCCGTGGACAGCACGACCGTCGCTGGGATCCTCACCGACAAACACATAAACATCGCCAATGCAGAGGACAGCACACGCTGGTTCAGTCCCACTGCCCTCGGAGGTCTGCTGTGTGGCACAGCACCCGAGAGCACGGAGCTCTCCTGGGATTTTATCACACACTTGGTCACTGAGTGCCGGCCACGTGCCTGGTGACGGGCTGCACGGTGGGGAATTCGCTGATGGCCAAAGCAGCCCCCGCCCTCAGGAGCCAGCCCCTTTGCTCTCACTGAACTGAACGAGCAATGGGTGGAGGCGAAGAAAGGGTGTGGCCCCTTCCATGGCCAGGCCTCCTCTCCTGTTCCTCTCCCAAACAGCCCCAGTTCCGGTGCGCTCAGAGAAGCAGGGGAGAAATCCCTGTGGACAGGACCTGCGGGGGCGAGTGGGAGTGGACCTCTGACAGCCACCACTCTGCGGACTGCAGACTGCAGGGACCCTCCCAGCCCAGGGAAGCCGGGGTCCCTCTGAGTTACACCACAGAGCACGCCCCCGTGGCTGTCTCCCACCACGGGAGAGAGGAGGAGGCCTCCCTCCTCCTGCGAGCGCGGGGTGGCCGAGTGGGGCCATTCCCCCACTGCCCTCCCACCCCAGTGCTGCCGGCCAGGAGGCAGGGCGGCCGCACGCTGACGCCACCCCACACCCCAGAACCAACAGGCGGCTCAGGCCATCTCCTAGAAATGACTGCTTATTCCTACCATGCGCTTACTTAATCAGTGGCAAGCCGTCTGGAAAAAGTCAGCAATGCATTAAACTAACAGAGTCGTCTAAGTTCGTCACCCAGAGATAACCGACGCTAACAGGTTGGCGAGACTTTTTCCAGCTGCTTCTCTTGCTTTGTGGATGAGCACGTGAGTGTGTGGAGTACAGATGGGGACAAACTCCGCCTACAACCGTGCGTGCTGTCTTTCCCACTTCCCTTTACCTGAGATGTGCTGCCCCGTGTTATTAAACATTCTCTGTGGTTTAAATGCAAGGAGCTGACACGGGTCCTCCGCGCCACGAGCCACACTCCATTCGCGCCTCCTCAACGTCCTGAGCGCTTGTTTGCTCCAATTTCTCAGCTACGTGAAGTGACACCTACGCAGGCATCTTGGTGATAAACATGCTTTTCTGACGATTTCCTTAGGGCAGATTTCCACAAGTGCAGTTAGTGTGTCCAAAAATGAGTATTTTCAAGCCTCTCTCTATGTATTGCCAGCCTGCCTAGAAACATTATTCCCAATGACTTCGGCACCAGAGGAGAACGCAGCTCTCCTCGGAGCTTCCTGGCTGCGTGCGAGGTGGCTTCTCACTGCTGATTCACCTGCGTTTCCTGGACAGCCAGTGAGGGAAGCATTTTAGAGTATGATTATTGATCATTTGTATACCTTCTCCTGTGAACACCCTGGAGACCTTTGGAAAGTTCACACTGCAAACCCAACCACGTAGGCGATGCAAGGCATGTCTGGGACTCTTAGAAACCAGGAAAGGGCGGGGCTGGTGTTGTGGCGTGGTGGGTAAAAGCCACCGCCTGTGATGCCGGCATCCCTTATGAGAGCTTATTTGTGTCCTGGCTGCTCCACTTCCCATCCAGGTCCCTGCTAATGGCCTGAGAAGAGCAGCAGAGAATGGCCCAAGCGCTTGAGCCCCTGCTACCTAACCTGGGAGACCAGGATGAAGCTCCTGGCTCCAGCCTGGCCCAGCCCCAGCCCCAGCCATTGTGGCCATCTGGGGAGTGAACCAGCACATGGAAGATCTCTCTCTCTCTCTCTCTCACTCTGCCTTTCAAATAAATAAATTAAATAAACAAATAAATCTTTATTTTTTTTAAATGTCCTTTCCAGGACTTTAGTCTCTTTAGGGAGGGGAACATGGAATGGAATCTTACTGCTCTGGAAGGAATTTAAAAACCAAAGTAGCTGCACACAGCTGCTCCACAGAGTTGACCAGAACTTACTTTTCGGAAGCTCCACAACTTAGAAATAGACGTCTGTGAAGAGAAACGAAGTCATACCCGAAACGGTACTTTAAAACGCTGTTGGGATACTGCAAGCTGCTCTTCCTTCTTTTTGCTTTTAAAGATTTATATATTTACTTGAAAGGCAGTTACAGAGACCTCAAAGGGCTGCAACAGCTGGGGCTGGGTCAAGCCAAAGCCAGGAGCCTGGAACTCCATCTGGGTCTCCCACGTGGGTGCAGGGCCCAAGCACTTGGGCCATCCTCTGCTGCTCTCCCAGGTGCACCAGCAGGGAGCTGGATCTGACACGGAACAGCTGGGACTTGAACCGGTCCCCATATGGGATGGCGACAATATAGCTGGCTTAACCCACTGCGCCACAGCGCTGGCCCTGTCTTCCTTCCTAAATGCAGTTTTAAACCATTATAAAGAAGTCATATGGCTGGTGTAGCGGCTCACTTGGCTAATCCTCCGCCTGCGACGCCGGCACCCTGGGTTCTAGTCCCAGTTGGGGTGCCGGATTCTGTCCCGGTTGCTCCTCTTTCAGTCCAGCTCTCTGCTGTGGCCCGGGAAGGCAGTGGAGGATGGCCCAAGCGCTTGGGCCCTGCACCTGCATGGGAGACCAGGAGGAAGTACCTGGCTCCTGGCTTTGGATTGGTGCAGCACACTGGCCGTGGCGGCCATTTAGGGGGTGAACCAATGGAAGGAAGACCTTTCTCTCTGTCTCTCTCTCTCACTGTTTAACTCTGCCTGTCAAAAAAAAAAAAAAAAAAAAAAAGTCATAAAAATGGTGAGATCCTGTCCTACATCTAAAGACACTGACCAATGAATGACTGGTCTACAGAACAATTATTCAGAAAGTGGCAGAAATATGCCCTCCTGTGAGGGAGAAAGGACTCCCGTGGGGTCTGTGTCTCTGCCCACGTGGGAAGAAAACATTCATGCTGTGTCTGCTCTTTATCTCACCTCCACCTGGGGCTACTGTGGTGCGGCCTGAGGCGTTCATATCCTATCTCAGCGTGCCTGCTTCAGTCCTGGTTCCCCCGCTTCTGAGCCAGCTACCGCCTAGTGGGACCCCGGGGAGACAGCAGGCGAGGGGCTCAAGTACGTGGTTTCTGCCACCCACACAGGAGACCTGGGTTGGGTTCTGGGCTCCTGGCTGTAGCCTGGTCCAGCCCTGGCTGTAGTGGGCATCTTGGCCAGTGAACCAGCAGCTGGAAGATCCCGATCTCTTTCAAATAAAGTGAAAAAAAAAAAATATTAAAAGAAGGGGGGAGGGAAGAGGAAATGCAAAGCAGAAGTGTCCGTTCTATAACCCGAGGTCTGTCTAAGTGTCCGTTCTATAACCCGAGGTCTGTCTAAGTGTCCGTTCTATAACCCAAGGTCCAGCTAAGTGTCCGTTCTATAACCCAAGGTCTAGCTAAGTGTCCGTTCTATAACCCGAGGTCCAGCTAAGTGTCCGTTCTATAACCCAAGGTCTGTCTAAGTGTCCGTTCTATAACCCGAGGTCCATCTACTGAGGGCTCACGTTGCTAATGTGCTCAGTGCCCTTCTGAGCGACATCTGTTTACTTACCCACAGGAAGGGCTCTGGCGCTAATGAGGAGAAAATTAGGTTAAGCACTTAATTTGAACTCTAAATTAGTTTTCTGCACTGCAGACTTTCAGAACCCACGTGTGCAAACGCAGAGTCGGCGAGCTGGGTCCAGCACAGGGTGCAGGGGGTGTGTGTGGCGGGGGGGAGAGCCCCGTGTGCTTCACCCCGGGAAGCTGGGCTTCCGGCTGTGCGACAGGCGTGTCA